CGAAATTTACTAAATTTGCGTTGCTCTCAGTGGCTTATTGTCACCGCAAAATTTGCATCGCTCTCTCGTTACCTACCGCGTTACCTTCTTCAACTACCAAGTTCCTTCGTATGCAATATGACATTCTTTCCTCATAGAACATCGAAGCACTGCAGATAAAACAATAAGCACAAAATTATAATGCAATCGAAATTAATGAAAAAGACAAGAATAGAATAAAAAAATATAAATATTAATAATGTGAAATGTGTAATAATAAAGTTTTAACATGGTAAATATTTGTGAATGTATAAATATAAAAAAATTATCAATTTGAGTTTAATAAATTGTTATATTAAATGACATTTGTTTAAACTTTCGTTAGAAGCTTTGGTTAAAATCGAAGAGTTTATCATGTTTTCTTTTCCTTTAATAATCAACTTTTGAATAAACTGTTTTATATGGAGAGATGGAGATTTGTTTTAATATGGATTAAGAGTCAAATGGAATTATCTCGTCCGCGCTCTTACGATAATCGCCGGATTGCGCGTTTTTTTCTTCTGATGATCGCGTGGAAATTTGACGATTAGACGGACGGAATGCGCAATCGATTTTTCGAGGATAATCCCCCCCCTCCCCCCGTGTGAGGGGCACGGGCGAGTGCTGCGTGCCGTCGCGATAATTCAGTCGAAACTCGCGTTGTCTCCCCGCTCGCGAACCATTAATAAAGTAAACGCGCTTTAAAATGCTCGGGCATGTAATCCTACGCTGCGTTCGTACCGGGCTGCGCGTCCCGATGCGATCAATATTTATCACGGTGTCCCTCTCGCTGCGCGATGTGCATTACCGATTGGCCGCGTAATGAATACGAGACGATGTTGAAGGCGCGATATTAATGGCGCGCGCGGATACGGTTACCCGCGAAATTAGATGCGCTCGAATACACGTGGCTGAAAGTACTCGAGGCGAAGTGTTTCGTGCAAGCTAATTGTGGATGCATCGATAAATGATCTGTTAAATGTCAAGTGAAACGCGAGAGCTTTTGCACCGAGTTTAATTAGGTCATCGAGACACCGAGAGAGAGAGAGAGAGAGAGAGAGATGGAGGGGAACAATTGCAACAATTGCAATATTATTGCTACGTATGGTTATTTAGATTTTATTATAATCTATATTTCTCTCTCTTTTTCTTATATTTTTCTTCTATCTTCTTTCTATATTTTTAATTTTCTTTATTATTATTATTCTTTTTAATCAAAATACATTTCCACGGTTTCTCATATGTGTTTCTCGCCCGTTACTCGCTTCTACTTTTTTTTGAGGAATTTTTCCCAAAGAGAATTTCTTTCCGTATCAACATCATAGCCGTCGATGTCGCTTTAACTTTGTATCGATCCGAGGATTATTGACACGTAGACAAACCCATTAAATTATAAGGCAAACGGTGGGAAAACTCGCGTCTCGCACGAAAGCGAAATATGCTCGCTCGTTTCGAACTAAATGAATGCCTGCTCCATTTTATCCGAGCCGAGCCGTAACTATCAATTTACCTATTTGTCCGGACGCCTATTCGCCCATTAATCTCCGTCGGCTGTCTAACGGGCGCTAAATTGCCCGCGTACGCGCGCGGTTGATTTCTTTTTCTTCATTCGTTCGCCAGATACGAGACGTAGATCCCTATTTTCTTATTTTTAATATATTACTATAGTCAGCCGCGACGTGCAACTTCCTTTCATCTTTGTAATCAACAGAATTACACACGTTGGATCTAATTAATGAAGGTTTGGTTCTTGTCATCAACTTTTTTTTTTTTAAGCGGGAATATCGAAAGAGGCGCTTTCGAAAAGTGAGATTGTCAAGCTTACGTAATGCGCATTGAAGAGAAACGAGTTTTCTCTTCATTCAATCTCTTGTATTGGTTCACGCGTATTTTTTTCTCTACTTTTTAACTTGTATTTCAAAAGAAATATCGTAAATGTTATTCGAGAAAATTATACATCAGGAGCACTTCTCCTATCTTGACATGTGGTTTTATCCTGATTTTCTTGCACAGACCTTACCTTTTCAGTTTGCCCACATTTCTCCTTGATTCTTTCACGATCCTTTATTATTCTGGTATATTGCGTTACGCTAGATTATGTAAAGACCACGGCGGTATGCGTATATGTGTGTCGCCTTTGCCTGAGAAAAAGAGGGACGATCCACTCGAGGACGATGGAACGGGTGATCGATAGCGAATTTACAGCGAGAAATAATATCCTTCCGTCACGATGTCGCATTTACCCTACGTGTCGCGTATGTGTATCGCGCGTTAAATGAAATGTATATATTCGCCGTCATGTATTTAAACCGATCGTCTTTTAATTCCGTGAAAGGTATTCTCTCACTCGCAAAAACCCGGTATTCGAGTCACGACTGACGTTGATTTCGTTATTACGAAGAGTTTCTGCATTATCGCGCAAGACACGCACCACACACACACACACACACACACACACACACGCGCGCGCGCGCTAGCGAGATTACAATAGAATTTACGTTCTGAACTTTTCGAGGATTACGAAAATTTCCTGTTATAGGAATCAGGGTTGAGATAACTTCAAAACGTATCTCATGTACGTTGGGAAACCCAACGTTGAAATTTAGACCGGATTCAGAATTTGCGCAGACGCCAGAGATAAACTTCTCAAACTATCCTACATATTCCGAAATCTAAACTTCGAAATTTCTCCGCACGCAAGTTGCATTTGAACCGTTTCTGTACGCTCGCGGACTGTTTGACAAGAGTTGATACGCGTATTTTCGCCCCGAGGTCGAGAAGTTTTACAAGAGTGACGATTCGCGTCGAATCGCGTCGAATCGCGTCGAATCGCGCGAGTCGCGTCGGAAACGTTGATTTGCCCGCGTCGGAAAGTTCCATGGTACATCGATCAGTGTCGGATCGGTTTGCCTAATTAAGCGATATGTTCATCGTTTTAATAAAACAGGCACGTAAACGCGAGCGGCGATGCGCCGCGACGATATGCGTAATCATCATCATCGATGTTGCCGGGGCCCCGTTTCCCATTTCCGATATTACCCATGGGAGGCCGTTAATAATGTAAATTGTCGTGGCCGGCCTTTCTGTCGACGTAAATCGCGCGTATTGACGCGAATAGGATCGCTTCATCAAAAAATCGGACGAGAGTTAATGCGCGATCGTTACGTTTAATATTGATACGTATATACGCGTATATGAGCAGGGAATTAAGTAAATGAAAAAATTAGATGGAATAAATTTACCTGCAGAAAATAATATATTTCATGATAATTATATAACAAAATAAAAATCGTACCCATCAATTTTATAAAATTAGATTGGCATTTAAAGTGAGAAAATATATAGAAATGCAAGAGAGTGAATCTTGTATAAAAAAATTTATATAAATTTTAAATCTTATATAAAAATTCTTATACAATACATTTAAAAAAAGTTTTATTTAAATTACAAATAATTATTCCTATAATGTGTAATTAAAGTTTCTTGCAAAATTAGTATTTTTTTAATTTACGTACTATATTTAAAAGCTACGAAGGATAATATTTGCGTAGGATAGAATTTGAGTAATGTTAAAAAACATAATGCAAGAATTTTCTATGTTGTTGTTTCTATGTTGAGTTTTTAGATGATAAATAAAGGAAAAATATGCTCGTAATAAAACGTAGACAGCCCGGATGGCGTACCGTAATTATGCAGTCGCGGCTGTGAAAGTAGCTCGACGGCAGACGCCATTGCGCGAAATGATTAATTTTACTAGTACGCCAAAGCACCTCAAAAATTTTAAAGTTTTGACACGAATTTTATAGAAGCCGGTGCGATGACGACGCGTGACTTTGGAAAAAGAGCGAGAGAGAGAGGACTTTTAATTAACTTCCGTTACTACGCCTCCGCGCTGACTCGCGAGACTCGCGCGAGTGCTCGCGTTATTCTGCGCATTCGGAGCATTTTCCGACGACGAAAAAAAAGAGAGAGGATCCACGCCTCTCTCGAGTCGCGAAACTTTTCGTACTTCTCTCGTGCGACGAACTCACGACTGCCGCGAGGAACTTAAGGCTTGTTTTACTTGCGACCTCATGTAAATAACAGCGTGCTCACGAAGAGCAAGACGGCGGTTTCTTGTGCGCGAAGCGTAATTGCAGAGTTTCATGGAGGGACGATTTAAATCCGGAGAATTGTAATAACGTATAAGTAAAGATAAAAGATCTTCATTCTCAAGCGAGATTTAATTATCTCCAGATTATATTTGCAATATATTTTTATACAGTAAATTATATAAAGTGATATCTTTTGTAAGATGCTCCAGGAGTATAAAACGTAAAGATCTCATTACATTTTAATCTAACAAAACAGAATTGAAAATTTCTTTGAAGTAACGCTTGAAATTAAATATTTCAGAAAGTATTTAATTAGTTTATATTTTCTGATAAATAATAATTGCGTTAAATCGAGGATACTTAAAAGATTATATATCTAAAATAGAAAAACTTAAAAAAAACAAGGATACATCTTAGCAAAACTCAACAATCAAATCTTTTGAAATGATAAGTCCATACCTTTTGCTTTATATTTTTAAATTATCACAAAATTTATGAAAAAAAGATTATTATGTTATTACGCAATATATAAATTAAAATACGTGCGTGGGTATTACGTTACGTAAATTCAAATAGACACATCGTCATCTTAAATTTAATTAATCTAAAGCGGTATTATTCCGATCATTATGTCGATTCAGTTATAAAATATTGCGACGCATTTCGCTCTTATGTGACGATCGCGTGTTTCCAGGTAATCCGTAATAGACAAACACTTGAACCATACGGGAACGATCGATCAGCGAAGTTTATTTAGCGTTTATCGAAGCCGGCCGATCGCCTTGGCGAGCGTTGCGTAAATATTTCCCGTTTATATCGCCACTCGTCCTCCTCTTCGGACCCATCGATCGATCTCTCACGAAAACGTTCCCTCCGTTTTTTTTCCAGCTTGAGATCCGAACAGCCTAGTGGCTTGGACACGGGCGGAGTCCGATTGGAGCTGAGTAAGGCCCTCGATCTCTGGGCCAGAAATTCGAAGCTCACCTTCCAGGAGATCAATAGCGATCGCGCCGACATCCTAGTCTACTTCCACCGGTAAGCTTAATTTAAATTTGAGAATGTGTTACATAATTTTCCTTTCTAAAAAAAAGATGTGTTAAATCGATACTCGCGTCTCTCGAAGTCTTCTCGAAAATTTCGATTTGTTGTTCTGGCTCTTTTCCGATGGATTTTCTCGCTGCGCTTACTTCGCGTATCATTGCGGAGATTATTTTGAATAGTTGCGTGCATAGCAAAAGATTAAAAGTGTAATAATGTTATATTAATTTCTGCTCTTTCTGTTTAAAAAAATATATAGCGCGTATAGCGTATTTAGCGTATAAAAATATATATAGCGCCTGTAGTGTATCTAGTAAATATAAAAAAATTGAGATTTTTATATTTACTTTTTAATTACATTACGTTAAAACATATTTCTACTTTATATTTAAATAATTTTTCCAAGTTTTAAACCGCCACAAAATTTTTTATATTACTTTTAAATGCGGTTTAGAATAAACTGTAAGTTTCTCAATTTTTTAAATGTAAATATAAAAATTATAAAAATATGTGTAGTACATCCTTCATCAATTTAATGATCTGTTTATCTCGACATGTATATGTAGTTTGAATGAATCCGTCGAAATTCATACAACGAATTCAGATTACGTATACATATTATAAGAACAATATTTCATAATAAATGTTTCGCCGTTGAGCAGAATTGAGTTGAATTACAATAATTATTAAAATAATTATTGAAAGGATATAAATTCACACATGTTTTGATATTTGAAAATCGATAATGAAACTTAAGTTAAAGACAAGTTCGGACTTCTAGTTGAAATTTTTTTAAATTTCCAAGTGTGCCATGTTCGACGTTCGAAATTGCTTTCGCCGTATTGTGTGACGATTCCGTGTAACAATAACACGTAATACAACAGCACGTAACTGTGTAAAATTGTAAATTTGTCACGGATGTTAATTTCTATTAAGTGATTAATAATTTGATTCGGATAATACCATATCGTTCAGGGGTTATCACGGAGACGGATATCCGTTCGATGGCAGAGGTCAGATCTTGGCGCACGCGTTCTTCCCAGGCAAGGATCGTGGCGGAGACGCTCACTTCGACGAGGAGGAGATATGGTTGCTAGAAGATGGCAACGAAAGCAACGAGGAGGGTAAGTGGATTTTACGGTGGTACCGAAGAACCCACATAGTTCGGGCTTGCACCTTCAAATTACTCCGATCTTCCACGCGAACGAATGGAAATCCTTCGTATTCAGACGAAATAGATTATGAACGTTGAGAGAAAAGCACCAATGAAAGCTTTTAATATTTCCTTCATTTCTTTTCTTTTTTTAATAGAAATTGTGCATTCAATCTCTCGCGGTGCCCGCTCGAATTGTCCGAAAGGTCGAAGTGTCTCCGGACATTGCGAACTAATCAAATATCGATTGGCTAACCGTATATTTGGTACGAATATTTGACTTCCGAGACTATTTGGAATCGAGCGTTTTCGTATCGAATTCCTCTCCTCAGCATCTTGCGGTGGACTTTTGCGCAATCATCTAAACCATCCGCGTTTTGGTGACGCGCCAACTCGGTCATCCGATACAAGGTGCGGTCACGTCTGTGGAAAAAGGGAACTCTGGATAACTTGAGAAAGCGGTCCTTTCGATTTTATTGAAGCGAGACGTTTTATATCGCCGGATCGATATAAAACGCCGGATGAGACACATAAGTATTCACGAGCGGCGTGTGTGAGCGTTCGAAGAATTGTTTGCGAGCTTCCTTTATCGACTCTTTTTCGACGTGTTTTCCTCTCTCTTTTAATGCAGGAGGAACGGCTTTGTCGCGAACTCTTTAAATAACAGGACAGCTTATAATACGTTTGATACCATGTACCTCCAATATTAATTATTAATATCAACGGCTTCACATCACAGTATATATATATATATATATGTGTGTGTGTATGTGTGTGTATGTTCCTTCTTTTAATGAAAATTTAAATTTAAATTCGGAATATCTGATGTAATATGATTTATAATAAATGTATTATAATTTATAATAAATGTTATTAAATTTATATTAAAATTAAATAGACGGTTTTTTAATTATTTTTATTCGGTTTTTGAACGTTAATGGAAATTTCATTTTATACAGAATTAATTATAATATTTTAATATAAATTATCTTTATAACTCATATGAATTTTATGTAAAATAACATTTTATTTTTAAATAATAATATTATTTAAAAATAATTTTTTATAATTACTAGAAAAAGGTCTAATTAAAAATTTTTTTATCTTAACAACAACTTCAAACAGATTCGTTTTCAAAATATATCATAGATATTAAATAAGTATTCTTATATGAATAATAAATACTGTTATCATAAATATA